TACGAAAATAAGATCTGTAAACAATTAAAACCTGTATGAATTGATATTTGCACGAAAATAAGATCTGATTGAAAATATGATTTATACCAAAATAAGATATATAAGAAAATAAGATTTGTACGAGGATAAGAACTTTATGAAAATAGTGTCTGTTTTCGACCAAGATTTATAAGAAAATTGAAAGCTGTATAAAAATAATATCTTACGAAAATAAGACATGTTAAAAAATTAAACCTGTATGAAAATACTTTATGTACGAAAATAATATCCTATTGAAAATGTGATCTGCACGAAAATTAGATCTCTGCGAAAATAAGATCTATATGAAAATTATGTCCTTATAAAATAAGATATCTAACGAAAATAAGATTCTTAAAGATATGAATTCAAACAGGTATTATTTTTTTGCAGATCTTATTTTCGTACATATAGTATTTTCATACAGGTACACCTTTTGAACATATCTTAATTTGTATGTATCTGTATGTATATGTGAGTTACTTTATTCTTCATTTTTTTTCTCCTTTTGACTGTTTGCTCTTACATATGTTACATTGCTAAATACTTAACTCTTAACTATTATGTGAATGTCTTTGAATACTTCAACAAACCGTTGTGTATGATAATGCCATGAACTTTGTTATTGTAAATTATTATAACTGGGAGAGGACATTTTTCAGCTTTATAGCTTTCTGCCCAATCCCAAAATGTACTTTGTAAATATTGTTCACTTGTTAAATGCTTTGTTGAATAAATATGTTTAAACCAATTTGTATGTATCTGATTTTCGTAAGGGTATGTTTTTCATGCAGCTTTCATTTTCATATATGTTATAAGATCTTGGCCGAAAACTGACATTATTTTCATAAGCATATTGTACTTTACTTTTAGGTTGTGTATAATATTTGTATTCTTAAACTGAATTGCAACTGTACTCTCATATCCAATCTCTTTTTCCGCGTTAGCAATATTAATTCTTTTTAACGTGTGCGTGCGTGCGTGTGTGTGTGTGTGTTAGTTGCGTTTCCAATGGCACCTGCATATTCACACTGTGGACAACACATTGTGAATAAAGTTATAGTGTGTTAGGTGTATAATCAGGATAATTCACCAATGCTTCTTTTAAAAAAGAAATGAGCGCTGATACGACCAAGATTAATAGACTTTGTTATAACATTAAGCTACGACATTATCGTGTGTTTGTGGTACTTTTTATTCTTACAATTCGGCATTTTTCTAGTTGAAGGATCCAACGTTCCTACTTGAATAAAGTTGATCCCCTTTATAAAATATATATTTGGTCCCGCCAATCGTTTTTTCGTTTAGGACACACACTTACAAGAATTTGGTGATCATACGCCGCTTTTCATGAAATGGCACGGAAGTGTCACATTGAAGGTTCCATTGTAACCGCCGTATGAACTAGCAGCGGATGCTACAAAATTAAAAGTTTCACCATTTTCATGTTTAAATGTTGGATTTTACTAAAGTCGGACAGTAGTTTGCATTTGATAGTACAATCAAACCGACCCAGCAACATTTTTAATTTTGCCGTTTCGGACTCTCTTTAGGAATTCTTATTTCCCCTATTTTTTCCCTGCAGGTTGCCTTGGAAAGAGGGCAGAGTAACCCAGCAAACAAAAGACGTTGTACCAACGTTGTACTGACGTTAGACCCTGACGTTGGGTAAACGTTGGCAGAAGGTTGGATTTGAAAGTTTTTTAGACGTCAGAAACCGACGTCTATACAACGTCATAAAATGACCTTTATCCAACCTTTTCTGACCATAATCCAACCTTTTCTGACTATTATCTGACCATAATCCAACCTTTTCTGACCATTATTTGGACATAATCCAACCTTTTTCTGACCATAATCCAACCTTTTCTGACCATTATCTGACCATATGCCAACCTTATCTGACCAAATTTTCTGACCATGATTTAACCTCATTCAAAACTTTTGGAATATGATTTTTTTTGTCATTTTGAAGCTCTTAAATAGGGTTAATAAATAAGCATTCTTATGATTTTAGCAATTTATTTTATACTCGGAATCACAAGTACAAAACAAGAAATGTGGTACTATAACAAATGTAAGATTTACATAATATTTTTTGAAACTATTAAACTTGACGGTATGTACTTTAATAACGCTTCATGTATTAATTAAGCATGTTTTAGAAATAAGATAAACAAAATCCTTCTTGAATATTAACACTGACATTTTATATAGCAAACATCCATGCATGTGTTTTTTCTTATATCACCACTGAACTGATCACTCTGAGTTTGGGATTTTTCAATCATCTATCCAACTCACTGATTGTATATTTGTCTTTGTATTTTATAACTGAATCTAGATCTGAATGTTAAATGGAACAATATTCTGAATATTTTGTTATAACTATAAATAGCAATGTTCATGTATCTTCATTAGTATTCTAGCTTCTTTCGTCCTCCTACACTATGTCGATCTGGGGCATACTATAAGCGTATCATTACCGTCTCCAACCTGAGATCTCATCACACTTTCTGAAATTAAAAAAAAATAAAATAATCAGTTACAAGTGCAAGAAATAAATCACTTATACATATTATAATTAAACGAAATTCTAAAAAAACTCTCCAACTACTTAAAAAGATACTTATTATTTTTAATTTAGTTTAAACCATGTAGTTTCGTGTACCTACTGTTTATATCTATTAATTTTGATAAAAATGGCTTCGTGACTTTCATTATAAAATCAAGGGTAATAAGATCACTGTATTTTCTATAATATTTTGAAATATACCTGTCACAAAATCTTGGTAGATTTTCATGTTTCTTTTCCTCTAAATATTTTCATCTTCCTCCTGAACTTTTGACACATGTTGAATTATCATAATTTTCACAATCTGAAAGACGAAATATAATCGTTTTAGAATTTAAGCATGTGGTGGAAGGATGTTTGTCTAATACAATAGGCAAAATCCAATTACTATTAATCTTAGTTAACTCATAAGCGCATGAAAAACTGATATAACAAATACCAAAATGAAATTAATTCTACTCCCGCAAAAATTGATATTATTTTTTTATATTCAATGTACTTTGTACAAATGCTCATACAACATCAAAGAAATTCACATGTTACTGTCATTTTTATAGATACCATCTCTGCCCAGCATGATCTGGTCTGCTAAGTGTATATAGGACAGACTGGCTAAGTGTAAAAAGTTACGTTTTATGATACGAGCATACAACTTGTTGATAAGCAGGCTAATAAACAAACTATTACTTTTATTGATTTATAACTATGATAATGTGTTTTCTGATTGATAATATGTTGTTTGATTACATTAATAAAAAGATAGCTAGTCAAATACAATGTGCTTTCAGATATATCTTACCAAAGTCGTATCATTTACATGTATCAAATGCCATGAATCATTTTCATAATATAAGAAACACATGGTATGCTAACAGTATGGGTAAAGTACTTCAATTAACAACGAGTAGTTTAACAACTACACAGATATCAAATCAAACTGCATCTGATACATGTGTAAATGACTGGCCCCTCATATAAGGTTAATTCATGTTGATAAGAAATAAGAGGAAATTTTATTTACCAGCATTTAAATAATAAGAGTATTACGTACTGCATTTAACTTTTTATTGATTTCAATTGCTAGGATATTTCCTACCGTTTATTGTGCATTTATTTGGCATGGCGATATAGTGTGGGAAAAATGATCCCATTATACAGACTGTTCTATAGCAAATGATAAAGTGTTCTTACGTGGAAACAAAAATATTTATCTCGCGAAATCACGTTACATTAAGTTTTACCAGTCAAACATTTCAATGATCAAATAACCATCGAATCCAATCAAACATGCGGTAAATAAGCATTGAAAAACAATATATAATGTTTGCCTACCTTTTTCTTTTGTTTGGAATATACAACCTTGTCTGTCAACCCGTCGTTTTTTTGTCCGCCAATACAATTGAATTTCAAATCCGATAAGTCGCAAATTCGAATTTACTAAATTATTTACCACTATAAAATGAAGCCCTCAAAAATGATAACAGCTTCATTGTAAATTATATAAACACTTCTTAGACTAATTCGAGGAGATAAGATATTATTTAAACGAAAATAGAGCAAATATATTTCATACTGATCTGCGACTATCCGTTTACAGAGCGCCACCTATCGAATATCGTACGTTAGCCACCCACGTGATACTGTTGTTTTGATGGAGAAAATAAATATATAATGTTCCCTTTCTAAACTTAAACTTAAAATTCTCGCTGTTTATGCTTTCATTTATATATATATTGGTTTCATAAATTAAATTCACCTATTGTCAGATTACCGACCAAAACCCGACGTCGAGCCGACGTCAAAATGAAACGTCTGTTAGACGTCGGGGATTCAACGTCGATTTGACGTTGTATGAAGGTCACCGACGTCGCGACCAAAATTCAACGTTGATCCAACGTTGCGTCAACGTCGGGTGTTTGCTGGGAAACGGCATGATTTCAGAAATCGGTTGTTAATTATGGTCTGCTCCCCGACGTGCTACTGTCCAAATATTGATTATTCTTGAAAAATAAGCTGAAAGTTTGAACACAAGCTTTGTTCCAGAATTACATCACAGGGTACACAAATGTCGAAAAATGTAGTTCCCTTATGTCATACACTCGTTAGAAGACTCCCTTTAGTACAGTTTAATCGTCCAGGCGCATGGTTAAGGTATATATTGGTCAGAGATGGGGTAATCGGTCACAGTACTTGAAAGCAGCTGTAATTGATTATTCAGAAACAAGTTATCAGGTGCATTCAATTACTGATCTGAATTTGAAAACCTGTAACTATTTATTTTCATTATGGATGAAACAGCATGCAGTGTTGATATTTGTGATTATAATCTTCTTTTTCTTATTTTTTAAATAATAATTAAAAAAATAAGTATAAAGTATCAAAATCAAGTTTTTATTTTTATATAGCCTTTACATTGTTAAAATGCGATGTCATTACTACAGTTTATATACTAGTACATGTAATTCTTTTACGACGATTATTGTCACAAAGTTTCATTTTTAAACCTTATTTTGCAATAACAGTTCTATACACATTTCCCGATATTTCTTCAAAGGTTCCATTTTTGCTGTTGGGTCTTTGGCCAGCTCGTCATATTTTCTCATTCTAAGGATAGGTTGAAATGCTTCTGACTGTTCAAACATGATGGCCTCTTCTTTTGTCATCGGTCCACCTTGATGAACCAGTGTCTTCTTACTAGCATCAGACAGTTCTAGAAAAAGAAAACTTTTAATTATTTATCCTATGGCTACAATTAAAGGTTAAATTGCGAAGTAAAAGCATAATTCAAAGTTTTTCAAATAAAACATTTCCTCTGTGTGAGAATTTAGAAAGCCTTTCAATACTTTCTGATATATAAACTTGTTGTTTCAAATGCTAACTCCTTGGAAAAGGTACTTTATTTTTTTTTGCAACATTTCATAATTCAATAGTATCATGCTTTTATAAGAATTTTACCGATTCGTAACGGGATCAGACATAAAAGTTTTTATGGTTATTCTTACTTTCATAGTAATCTTTATATTTATAAACAAGATATCTTTTGGCTTGCACATGACCTGCCACGATGTCACAAACAAGTTTTGGGAACCCTTTATCAATAAGATATTTCCCTCCAACGACGTCATGATCTTTTGTCCCAACATTTTCCCCATCAGTCACCATTTCTGGTAGGTTTTCATCTATACCCAACAAGTGACCAACATCATGAAGGAATGCAGCCACTATTTCCTAAATAAAAATGGTATACATGTACTCATAAAAATACCAATGTTTAACCGGAATGCTTAAAAACATTTGACATAATTTTGAAGATGCGTTGTATGTTCGCGATTTACTGGCAATCATCTGTTTCGTTTAATGATTGAAAAAAGACATTCGAAAACGATAAGCAGATACACGGCCGAAGTTATAGTGGCTAACTTGCATATGTTAGTTCTTAGTTTTCCAATGCAAAACCATATAGAAATGTTTGTCTAACTTGCATAACAATGAAATAACTATTTCTTGTATTATAGTTTGGGGTCTTTTCTTTTGAAAATGTGTCAAAGTTAAATCGTATAATACATGCACAGTGCGTTAACTGGAGTGCAGGTATTAGTTACCCGCACCCCAGAACATGTTCGTTGATTGGCTTATTTTTGCTGGGGTTAACTTATTGTGACGGCAGGGAAAGGGAAAGCGAAAGAAATATCATATTCAGATGCTCGTTCATTGGATACTTTTTCAGGGATTTCATATTGTAACAACAGGGAACGTGTTTTTTTTTATGTTTGACTTTGATACAAAAGAGAGAGAACATCAAAACACTCGGGAATCTGATTTATACTCGGGGACTACGCCCCCTGGTACTAATCAGATAGCCTCGTGTTTTGATGCTCTTTCTATTACTAATTTCATTGACAATGTTTAAGTTAGGATTAATGCCGGCGCACGATATATCATTTACATTTTATTTTAGAATGACCAATGGTATTTCGACATATCATTTTGTAAGTTTAAAATAACCAATGAAAACTCGTGTTATATATTCAGTTCTTCTCTGTATATTTTACAGGATGCCAATTTAATTTCATTCCGGTCTTCGACCGGGCGATTGATAAAATAAATATATAAATGACCAATGAACCAAACATTTCCATGAACTTGTTTCCATTATTAATTTGCGCAACTATTGATGAATAATTCATATTTGAATGGTTTAGCCAATTTAATTAAAACTTTGCCAGGTTCAATTTGCAAAATATATTTTCATTATGAAAAAAATTCATTCATTTTCTAAAACAATATAAAAACATTAGTGGCTTGATGGGGGCGTCATCGGTACCCGCAATTACCACTACCGTCTATGAACATGCTCGATCAAATTGAGCCTGCAACATTTTCAATTCGTTTTGTACCCTATTTAGGGATTTCGTTTCTTTCTATTTTAGTGGCTATATATGACCTCTAAAATCGGAATCAAATGTACATTTCTAGGCAAATTCGATTCTTTTATGCAGGAATGATTCAGCAGGACAATTAATGGAAACTGTGTAGCTATGCAAGTTGAAAATAGGTTTATAACTAATAATAAGGACCATAAGTAACTCTTACTTCCCGCACAGCACCATCTTTCTCGGCACACATGGCACATTGTATCGAGTGTTGTGTTTTTGTAACATTTTCTCCAAGATACTGTGATTGCCCCGCGTCCTCATACAACCGAAATATTTCATTTACAATTGACACAACCTCCATGATAGAAATATATAGTCCTGAAATAAATAAATGTTGGTCACCTTTATATAAAGATAAGAGATCTAATCTGCCAATCCAACAATTATGGCTAGGTCATCGTCCTTAAAGAGCCTCTATTTACTTTGGTATTGTATACTATTATCATCGCTTTTATTATATTTACAACACAGGCAGTCGGTATGTGGCTTGGTTAGTATAAATGTACATGCATGACCACCCCAACTTTTTTGATAAATTAAATATCTTTTTTTGATTCAAAATATCAATGTTTAAATCATCATATTTACAGTAAAACAACAATAGAAAGTTAATGTTTTAATGTTATCCTTATGATAGTATACTATATTAAGAAATAAATAAAAGATAGAAAGGTTCACCGGCCTTATTTTAAGTTCCAGATCTTTGTTAATTTTCAACCAATTTTCACCAGATGAAGTGCAATCTACTTAGAAATAATGTCTGTTTCAAAAATGTACAGTTTGTAGGAAAAGATCGGATTTTAAAACGAAACTGTACCCTTTGTCTGGTTGGACATCGCTCGACCAGCCGAAAATAATGTACTTTTCGGCAGTCAGTCACACTGCCTAACACAATAGTGTCTAACCTTCGCTAAGAAACTAAACATGTAAACAAATACATGTAGTTATTCAATGCTGGGAGTTGTTGCCCAAGTTTCAAAAGCTATAAGTTTAAAGTTAATCTTTAGTACTGATTTGCGAACAGAACTTGATCGGTAAGTCATACCTTGAAGACAGACTGTATTGTGATAGTGACCCCAGAGACCAAGCCTGCTTTGGATACTTGCAAGAAGAAAATTATAAACGAGGACAATGATACAATGCATAGTGACATAATAACATACATTGGAAAAAAGGTTAAGGTTGTTAAGAAAAATTCTGTAGTGCTCCGGTGAGCGCCAATAAAATTATGAGCCAATCGGACATTCAGACGGACAGGCTTGACTTCGGAAATAATTAGTTATATTAGGATATTATCAGATTGGAAATATTACCTTAAATAAACCACCAATGTGAAATGGTAACTAAAATCTCGTTCAATTTATAACAAAAGAAGTCATTTTAATAAATTTCCTTTAACAATAAATAATGCCAGGATTGCAACTTTGAAATATCAAATAATGCAATAAAGTAGTGGCACAAAATATTGTAAAAGAGTTTAAAGTCTGTCAGTGCATTTAAAAAAATATGACAGAGACTACAAGGTTTCCCACTGTTAGTTAGTTATAAAATAATAAAATGCAATTTCTCACAAATAATTACTTAATTTCTCATCTAATATTCTTTTTCAGAAAACAAATTCATTTAGAGAAAGAAAATACAAAAATCAATGTTTAACAAAAGCCAAAGAAAATCGAAGTCGTGGTAAATCTGAGTGGGAACTCTTTTATACTCACCAAAAATCTGGCAGACCAGCACAAAAGGTGTCGGAAATCCGTCTTGAATGAATCTACAGGATTCCCATATAAATAAGGGAAGTCCGTCATAAAATATTGCGGGCTTAAGAAAAACCGTCATAAAATCATGGCGGACAAAACTTAAATTTAGCGACTATTTTTAGACAAAGTAATAGCTTAAATCAATAACGTGTATAAATATAAAGGTGACTTTCTGATGAAAACATATTACTCTTTAATTAATACTCTTAATGACACAAAATAGCTCTATAATAGAACTGGGACATACGATTATCGTATGATCCAGAATAGACCTGTCAAATTACGTGAGTTACAGATAGGTCAACACAAAAACACACACATTAAAACTTGAATTTATTTACTCTAAGTCATCTGAAATAATAATGATATCAACATGGTGTAGACCTTAAATATATAAACACGGAGTAGCACCTTAAAATGAATATTTAAACATATTTTAACAATAAAATCTAATTTTAACTGCATATATAAACAAGCACGTTTGTAAACAAAGAAACCGTACGAAAAGATCATAATCCTTCTTTATTTAACTAGTTAGCAGTTTCCTATATATTCTATATCGTCAGCAAACGCGTCAGCATTTTAGTGCGACCCCCATTATTCCCCTTATCTTATTTTTACAGCGTGTTGTTTGCACGACATAGCGGAAGTCAAAATATGATATAATAAAAACAGTTTGTAAAATTGTTTCAGTATTTGTATGAAGTACATGATAGTACAAGATAAGATATGAGTTTTAAAGACCATCCTTTGGCATTAAGTATGTTAGTTTCATCGTAAATGCTATAATGATTATTTTAATTTACCTCTTGTCGTATTTCGATTCAGCACCGGTATATGGTGGGTGGGGTATGGTGAAAGGTCATGTCTAAAGTTTGAACAGTGGCATGCACAGACACTTGGGGTGTGGAGCTTAAAACGCCTTTAAAATCCAAATAAAATGTATATTTGTCAATCCCAGCACATGTACTGATCATATATATCAAATGAACTTAATAATATGAAATTAGGTGCTACCTATGGTGCGGAAAGCTCTTGTGAATAATGATGTTTAGTGTACACGTAAACCAGATCTTTAATTCTTGCAGTACAGGCATTTTGTAACGTAAACAAAACGAATAAATAAAATCTCCGAACGTAAAAGGGATCACTGCGCATGCGTCAGCGTTTGGAAAATCCTGTCAGCCATTTTTGTAATCTCTAATCACAGTTGTTGTTTTAACGTTATTTTTTCATGTGCTTATTTATCAAAAAAAGATATGTTAAAGTAACTTTTTATATTTATAATCGTTACTATATAGTTCTTATCAATGAAATGCATGTTTATAATTTTATTTTCTGATTTTGTACATCATTCTTTCACCAGAAGTGTTATTTAGCATGCATCTGCTAGCAATAGTCTGAATTATGTAGATGCTCATTAAAAGCGCTCTGATATCTATATTTAGCTCAAAAGGATTTCAAAATGGCGGCGCCCAGTAAACACAGCTTATTAGGTATAGGATATATATTTTTTGATATTTTCATTTACTTTTAATTTTATTTCATTTGAATTGATACGCGTCATTCATGTTATCTAAAAGCGCTACAGCCCTCGCGGCTCGGACTTTCCACGTATAAGACGTGTTGAAAAAATTTCATATTTCTTAATTTTCAACGTCTATAATAATACACATGATAAAAATGTTCGCTGGAAAAAATCCGCACACCTACCGTCAACATCACCGTATTGGTGATGTTGACGGTAGGTGTGCGTATTTTTCCGGCGAACATTTTTATCTTGTGTATTATTATAGACGTTGAAATATGATTTTTTTTCAAAACGGCTTATACAGTAAAACTTGTCATATGTGACTTTCCATGGGACCATATCAAAAAGGTCACATATGACAGGGAGTCTTTTAATCCAGGTTCCCAAAAAAATCATCAGTTGTTTCAAAATGCTATTTTTACTTGTTTGTCTTTTCTTTGATTGTGTTTTCTTTGTGTTACATATATGTAATATTTAAATATGGTTTTTTGAAGATAAAAGGTAATTTTTATTTAAATACTTTATTATGGTTAAAATGTTTTTAGAAATAAAAATGTTTACATGCATAATTATACAAATACAATGTATTATAGATATAAAATTTTAGAAGAAGAGTTTTTAATTTTGATTTCCAATCTTCCACAGTTTTAACATTCACATCTCCTCTTTCGCCACTCATGGTCCTATATGATATACTGTTTCTTAATTTGAAAGAGTCAAGCCAACCATTTGAGGCATTAAATTCAGTCTTTCCCAGCTGTTGGGCAAATTCAATTGCTTTTGTCTGTATCATTGGACCTGTAAGGTTGATGTTTCTTCCTGTTACATCACGACACCATGCCAGTGTAAGGTCGTTGACTTCTTCATTCCCTGGAAAAAGAAGGAGGAATGAATTTTCTTCTCATACATGCAAAGTTCAGAGAGTTAAAAGTTTAAGTTTGGGGGTGTAGTGTATAAACAGGCATTGTTGTCTTGTAAATCTTTGCTTTATTTTTCCTATCAATTTAGTGAAAAAATATAGAGCTGTCATTGATTCAGTGCAAAGCATATCAACGATATATCGATATCAAGTGACTAAAATCAATGATACACCGATATATCGATAATATCCTATACTCACTTGTCTGTCATTCACTTTCATACCTGTTTCAATGATTTCAGTCAAAAACATGTTCTGTACAGTGTCTTGTCCACTGCATGATTTTTACTAGACAATATTTTTGTCACCATTGCTATGAAATAATTCCACTTTATAACAAAAGCATAACATTAGATATAAATAACTGTTTCTGCATAGTTTTGGGTGAATTGTATAATTTCTAGACATTTAATGTAATTAAGTCAAAAGTATCGATTTTTTAAAATTTGTATCGATTATCGATCGACAAAAAAATATCAACGATACATCGATATTGTCGATATCGATGACAGCTCTAAAAAAATATATATCGAAAAAAATACCTGTGAGATAACGACGACGTTTTGAAGAATTGGGCATGTTGTTTTCAAAGTCACTCAAAATGTCGGCCTTTCGCTTCCGGAGCGTCTGTATCTGGGTTTTGCCGACGCCCATTTCCTCAGCTTTTTTGATTGCCTGCTGAATTTTTTCTTTA